GGGTTAATATTTTGCCTCAAGGATCCTCAACATACGGTAAGTTTTATTTTTACTATACTATTATAATTGTATAGTTAAATATTTATTTTTTAATAAATAAAAATAGGTTATGAAATATCTTCTCAATGAGTGAATTTAACCTGTTTTTGTATTAGCTTAATTAGTAAACGAATTACAAAATATATAAAAGATATGATAATTGTTCTAAGACTAATCATGTTATTTTTGTGTCATTAATTTAATAAGATTATGGATCATCGTAGTTGGATGTATAAACGTCGAACTTCTCGAGGAGAAATATACAATGAATTTTACAATGAAGTTGAATATTTCCTCCAATTTGCATACAGTAAGCTTGGTCTTGGATTAAATGATTTAATTAGATGTCCTTGTACTGAATGCTTTAATTTACCATTGATGACTCAGGAAATGGCACGAGAACATCTTATTGAGAATGGTTTTATGAATGCTTATTCTGTTTGGTGGGCACATGGCGAGACATTTGTGAATTCAATAGATCCATGGTCTGCTGGTAATTTAGGTGAATCATTGCAAAGTCAAGACGCATACCATGATGATTGGAGTGACTTCCGTGAAATGGTGTATGATACATTTTGTCCAAATGATGATGATTATCGGGAAATAGAAGGTAATTTCCCTAACCAACATCTAGATGAGGAACCAAATAATCAAGCTAAGGCATTTTATGACTTGCTTCATGAATCTACAATACCGATTGGCAATTCTGAGAGAAATGAGACACTGCTTAGCTGGCTCTCCTATATATTGTACACTAAGACTGCGAATAATATAATTGATGGTGGTTTTAATGCTATCATGAAAGGATGTAGTAGGCTATTAAGTGCTGAAGATCAGGAAAAAGTTCTTGAAAACTTTTATGAAGCAAAAAAATTTATGAAAAGGTTTGGGTTGGGTTATTTGAAAATTGATGGTTGTGTTAACAACTGCTTTTTATACTATACTAGTTATTTGAAAAGTTCCAAACGATTGCACAGTTTATTGCGGTAGCTCTCGCTGCTCATGGCATCAACCCCCAAGCAAGTCATCATCCATTTGCCTCACCACATAGTTAGGGCTTAGGTCTCCACCCAAAATACACCTTTCACCTACTCCACTGATTCCACCTAATCTTCTCCCATATTGCCTAGACATCAACAGCAGTAGCAGCCTCAGCCTCAGCCTTAGCCTCAAGATGACATTTACCATCCTATTTTTGATCCAAACAATCAAGCTCCTTAATTATGCTTTCTAATACATTGTCTGCACACTTTGCATGGTTGTCTTTTGATTTCTGTTAATAACTTTAACTGCTATTTTTAGCTTCATTGCGATATCTTTTTATTTTTTGCTTGATCTCCAATATTCATACTTTAAAAAGTATGAAGTTTTGGACTATTTTGGGGATTAATTATTATGAATTGAATATCATAGGTAATTAATATAATGGTATGTGGTTCATCCTTTGTGGTTATGTTTGAAAAGGTGTAATTGATTTTAGTATGGTAAAATTGTAGAATATATATTTTTTTAGTGCAAATGTAGGTTAAAAAAAACTTGGCTTTGATAATATTTATAGGGAAATTCTGCCCAAATTTTTTTAAAATTTATGTTCACTAAATACAACAAAATACATGAAACTTATTGAATAAATTTGGAAATTGGCATTAAAAGGGAATGAAATCTGGAAATTGGCGTGGTTGCTGGACTGATGTAAAATGGTTTTCTTTACTGACCTACATGATGTCAGTAAACTAATTTCCAACAAGATCCTAGTTGGTATTTAAAAGCAGTGCCAACATGGACTTTGTCGGTGAAAGGCGCAGAAAATGACAATTTTTTCATTTTCCCTTACCAACTTGAATCTTGTTGGTAATTGAGGCGGGAATTGAAAATTTTTTGGGTTCTTGGTTATCCCGCTCAAAGCTCTTTTGTTCCAATGTGTATTATGTCGACAATTTATTACCGACATACCTCACATTGGTAATTACCCTTTATATACCCCAGTCTTGCATACTCTGCTCATTTTTTCTTTTCTTTCTTCTTCTCTTCTTCTTCTTTCTGCTTTTCCCTTGTCTGTCTCTCCTCCTTCCTCTCTATGTATCAAATGTTAATGAATTTTTTGCTTTTTTATAATTATAGTATAGGCAGAATACCTAAATCCACCCTCAAAGTATAGTGGCAAGACGAATCCACCCCAAACAAAAAACAGGGACAAATCCACCTATAAAGTTTTCAACTTAGACGAATCATCCCAAATTTAATGTGTGACGTCATCTGACATCAGCAATCTGTTAATTTGACGTTATCTGACATCAGCAATCCATTAATCCGTTAACAGATTGCTAGCATCAGATGACATCACATATTAAATTTGGGATGATTTATTCAAGTCAAAAACTTTGTGGTTGATTTGTCCCCATTTTTTTGTTCAAGGGTGGATCCGTCCCTACCATTATATTTTGGGGGTGGATTTGGGTATTTTGCCTATAGTATATTAATGTTAGTTTTGGTTTAATTCTTCTCAATCTCATATATGTTTCTCTTCTATTTTTTACTCCTAATTGATTAAACATTAATTGGGACTATTGATCAATTTATTTAGAGTTCTAATTCTTTTTTGATGTTGTTTTGTAGGAAACATTATTGGGAGATAAATATTAGATAAATAAATTTTATTTATGTACCATAAAATTTCATTTTAATTATATTTTGAATGAATTTTTTTGTTGAATTAATATGTAAGTATTAAATTAATTTATGTTTTATCATTTTTTTAGGAATGGTGCTCTATAACTGT